GGGGGGGGGAGGGAGGGCGCACACCGTGGCGGGGCACGTGCAAATGTGCAGGTCCCATGGGGTGTCGCACGCCGTCCTGACGCCCACTACCGTCACCATGCTCAAAGGCTTTTCTTGCCACTTCCTGGGACCTCGGTCATCCCTCTGCCCTTCACACACGCACGAGTGCATGCGCGTGCTGCACGCATGCGCACACACAGACACACACACACACACACACACACACACACATGCGACCCTCAGGCGTCTGGCGCACTCTGGAGGGCTACGAGCGCCAGCTGGAGGCGGCACTGCCCTCCCTGGCTGACAGGTGCTGCAGTGTTGAGACCGCCTCCAGGGGTGCGGCCCACGCATGCACATGCGGGGCCCCGTCGCCCTGCTGGAGGCGTCGCCAGGGCCGGCTGCAGCGGCCAGGCTTGCACACTGTCACATTTTCAGTCGAACATGTCGTTGGGCTTAGTTGTTGATGCTAAGCTTGCCCCTATCCCCACTCGCATCACCACAATCCATCTTGACTCATACCAGGGCGGAGGAGCAGATGACGTCATACCTGGCGGCGCACAACCTCACGGGCCTTGCACGCGGCCTGGAAGCCCTGAGGCTGGCGCTGAAGTTGCCAGGCAGCTGCACAGAGGAGGCGCGGGAAAAGGTGGGGGGAGGCGGGGAGGATGAGGGATAGCGGGAGGCCGCCTCGTGCGAGCTTGTCAACGGTGGTCAGGCGTGAGCTCGGTCAAGGTAGTGGGGCCCAGGGCGCGCTTCACCCATGGAGGTGTGTTGTGTGGCCTGGCCTGGGTCACTCCCAGCACGCCAAAGCGGACGGGCACGCTGACGTCACGCTGACATCACCCTGACATTACGCTCATGCCATGCTCACGTCACGATGACGCTACGCTGGCCTCTGTCCCCGCGCCCCGCACAGGTCGCGGTTGCAGCGGCGCAGGGCGAGATGGCGGCGGCCGCGGCCCGCAAGCAGCGCGACGCACTGGCGACGCAGGTGCGGCGGCACGGCGACGTGCGGCAGCGGCCTGGCGCGGGCTGCGTTCCCGCGACAAGCTGCGGGCGCAGCCTGTCTCGTACACTGGGGGAGAATGCGCCTTTGATGCGCCTGCGGGGCCTCCTTGCGTTGTCTGCCAGGGTTGTGACCTTTGTGGCGCCCAGCAGCCTGGCACCCCGCCACCAGAACTCTTGCGACCTGCTGCAGGCCTCAGGGCGGGGGTGAAGTGAAGGTGCCCTGACCAGCAGGATTCGCCCTGCACCAACGTTGGGATTGTCACCATGGGCCGCAGGTAGCCGAGAACAAGGCCGTCGTGGGGCGCCTCGTGAGAGACTGGGAGACACGCTGGCTGGTGCCACTCGAGACGGCGCCGCAGACGCCGCCGCGGCCGGTCTCGGCGCCTATGCAGGCGCCGCAGCCCGCAGCGGCGCCTGAGGGCGCGGTGCAGCAGCGGGGCGGGCAGCAGGAGCGGGCGGCGGCGCAGGCGGCGGCGGCGTACGAGGCACCCGTGCCGGCGGGGTCGCTCGCCCCAGAGGGCTCTGGGGGCAGTTGCAGCGGGGGTGGGGGCGGAGGCAGCGCGACTGCGCAGCTGCCGCACGAGTCGTGCGAGGCCAGCACCGAAGACCGCTTCGCGGCCGCATCGGCTTCGGCTAGCACGGCGGCGGCTTCCTCCGCGACGCAGCCCGACTTGAGCGGCCTGCGCGCAGCATCTGCGGGAGCCGACGTTGCGGGCGGTGCCGCTGGCCCCGCTGTCCCATCATCAGCCCCGCGGCCGTCAGACGGCGCAGCCGCAGCGGCGCCACGAGGGGCAGGGGCCGGCGCGCCGCAGCAGGCGCCTGCCGCCAGGGGTGCCTGGTCGATGATGCCGCGCCGTCCCCCGCCCGCGCCGTCCGCTGCCGCCGCGGCCTCTCGCCGCCCGATGGGTGACCTCGCCGGGCAGCTGGTGGAAGCCAGGCGGAAGCTGGAGGGCCTGCAGGCGCGGCTGTCCGCGGCGCAGGCCGCCTTGGACGCAGCGAACGACCAACTCGAGGTGTCCGAGGCAAAAACGCGGGCCTGCCAGCAACAGGCGGCAGCCGCCGCGGCCGCCGCGCAGCCGTCCAGCCGGCCAGCGGCTTCGACGCAGGCTTGGCTGTTTGGGGGGAGTGGGGCCGGCGCGGGCGCGGGCAACGCTGGGGTTTTGGGCAGGCAGGGGGGTTTGGGCCCCGTCATGCAGGCGGTCGCCGCATTCCGCGCCCTGAGCATATCACGCGCGTCGCGCCAGCTGGCAGTCTACGCCCGAGGGGGCGCCGCGGCCGTCGCCGGGGCCCCCGGCGGCGCGGGGGCGGTCACCGGGGGCGCGGCGGCGGGCGCGGCGGGCGCCGCCGGTG